TTTTTAATTTCAAAAGTTGTAAATAGCTGAAGAAGGTCTCTGACCGAAAGGTTTTTTATTAAAATTTTTTATATTTTTTTACGTCAGAAGTTGTCCATCCTTGCGATTTTTTAAACTTTCTATCCAGATGTCACGGTAATGAATGACTTCCCAATGAACAGAATATTGTTCTACAATGGAACAGAACTGTTCCATTGTAGAATTTAGCGCTTCTTTGATTGTATTGATCGATTATAATTCGTTTTTCTTCCTGGTAAACTTCATGGAGTTCTTTTCAATTCCCGTTTGTACTCGGAAAGGAACTTGCTGATAACAAGGAAATAAAATGAAGAGGAAATGAATTTTGAAAGCTTAGAGATATTTTAAAAACAATTTTGTTCGTGAAATTTGAACCGTGTCAGAGCTAGTGGAACATTTTAAAATATGAAATTATTTGAGCGTCTTTAGTGAGCGTACAGCAATCCAGTGAGAAAAAAAAAAGCAACAAAAACGTCAAAACAACACGGATGCGTGTTTTATCGATACAAAGACTGAAACAGACTAAGATCATTACCACCCGAACTAGTTCATTCAAAACGATAATTGTAACGAGTTTAATCTAGAGACACTTGGAGATGAGGCTTTCGAAACACTTTCCTTGAAAATCGACAACAGATTCATACCATTTTCATGACTTTCTTTGTATTTGTGCTTTAATAGCGTATTATCTTAAGAAGCCTTACGACTGAAATGTCTCAGTTTACTTTCAAAGGTCAAATAACGTGAGAGAGGAAGACCCTAAAAATGTCAGGTTATTCAGTTGGTGCTGTTTTTGAATCAGATCAAAAGACGTAATGTTTATCAAGGCAGAAAGGGTCATTGCGAATAAGGTCGGATTGCGTTCCTAAACCGGCGGTGTTGGTAAGCTAGGGTTTATGATATCTAAGAATTTGTGAATCGTGACTCAGAAAACTGTCTGCTAATTGTATGCAACTGTTACCAGCGTAAGCGACTCCGATAATTAGCATGAAACATTTCCGTTTTGTCAGTGAATCTTTAGGAGCTAATTCCGCTGTTTCACTGCAGACTCTTGTGACTCTTTGATTGCGCTGTTTGATTATTATTTGCCTTCCTGGTTCATATCGTCGAGTTTTCACGCTTGTCGCTAGCACTGAAGGAAGTTGCCTCTAAACAAAACCTAGGAGGAAATTGATGCCGAGAACAATGAGAAAAAAAAGAGTGGTATCAAATTTGTGCTGTATCAGAGCGAACGGAACATAAACAGGATATAAATAAGTGGTTTTGACCACCTGCGTCATCCAGTTTTCGTGATGTCTCGTAAAGAACATTCTTCTCCGGTAAGCCCCGGCACAGTTCTGTCTGTTTTTTGTTTGCTTCTTTGCTCTACCGGATTCATTCGAATTGAGACCATATTCAAAGATTACGAACAAAGGTTGAAGACTCTGGAAGAAGTTATGCCCCACTATCAGTTAAAACGAGCAAAGACGGATTTAGCTTCGACCAAGGAGGGTAATGAAAACCGTTCTGTGTTGCATGAGATGGTTACATGCATACATTAACATACATTATCACACATTTACCTACATTTTTTAATTATTTTGATACAATTTTACAAGTTGTCATGCCCTTACAAGTAGCTTGAGCCATACTCAAGGTGGATCGCATGTTAGAAGTGAAACTCTTAAGGTGGCTGAACACAGTTTTTGCGCGCGCTTTTGCTGATGCAACTCAGCACGCGCACAGGGATTGCAGAAAAACAAACATGCCGTCAATAGAGCGGTCATTTTATTTACTCAACACGCACCCGCACTATCTGTCCTATATTTTTCTCTACAGTTGGCGCAGTGTATTGAAGGCTTTAATCTTTCATTACAAAGATATGTTAGAAAAGTTAACGATGCAAAGAGCCTAGCAATTCTCAGCTTTTTCGTCGTTACCGAAAGAACCTAGTTAAATGCAGCGCACACGTAGTAAGTAAAAAAGAATGGAAAATTGCTTTCTCGGAAATATGCCTATTTCTTGAGAACCAATCATTAGAATTTCACGAAATTTGGCACGAAAATACTTTAGGAAATAAGTAACTGGGGTATTGAAAAAGTGAACCTTCAACAAGGGATGATTAAAGATCTCTCTGTTAAATTGTTTGTAAAATGTTGTTAACTTGTGAGTATCGATACAAGCTCGTTGCATGCAAATTATAAAGAAAATCTAATGACCAG